TGCTTGAAACACTTTCATGTCAACACGAAATGCAAAATTTATTTTTTTATTTCACATAACAGCTGAAAACTTTGTACGCAGTTTTTGTGATTTTCTTCTTTCCGGTAATGTTAACGCCAAATAAATAAGAATAGCTGGGACTGAGTTCGGCAACAGAAGTTATGCAAACCACTTGTATGAATGGGTGCTGTTTCAATGTACCAGTGAAAAACTCTATGCACCTCTATAAATTGTTGGAGAGCATTAACAGGTTAATTTGATTTCTTGTCTTAGCTGAATGTTGATGCTAATGAGAAATTAATAATGGTGTTTTGTTAATAATAATTAATCATTATAATAAATGTGTTTTGGCCTATCCAAGAAATGCATTTCTATAGTGACTGGATTAATAGATGCAGATTATATCAGTCTGTAGGCCCAACTCAAATGAAATTTAAAAAAATAAATGTATCTAGATAAAATACTTGTCTATAGTTAGACCTTGCTGAAAAAAATATAAAATTCGATGGAATTGTATCATATTTAACAAGCAAATCAAATCCCTTTATTCTAGGAGCATAAACACAATAAATATTCTACTTTTGTAATCAGACGTACAGTATATATACAAGCTCTTGCCAAGTGGTTGGCATGCCCAGTCACTCTCAATGTGCTGCATGACAATTGAATGCAAAAGTATAAGAATAATAATTGAGAACTACTTGTCCCTCCTCTTAAGGGTGCTCCAGCCCTTTCATATTTTAGATTGATTATGTCCAGCTGCCTCCAGTTGAGTCTGCCCATGTTTAAGCCTGGCACTCTTGCTATTCCTGCCTCAGCATTGGGAGATGGACGCCCGGAAGCCCCCCTACCAGTGGGTCCAGGAGAGGCCCGACGGCACCGGCTTCACTCCGGCGTCCAGACCGTCTGAGTCCGGGGCTCAGAGCTTCTGCCACGTTACCTCGGTTTTATTCCTTGTCCCTGTCCTGGACCCCGTTCTGGATTTTAACCTAGTTTTGGATTTTGAACTGCACCCCGGATTTTCCCCTTGTACTATCTGATCTTGTTCGCCTGCGCCACTCCCCCCCCCGAGCACTGGATCACCATCCTCATGCCCCCCTGTTTGTCAACCCATACTATCCTGCTTTACCCTCCCCTGATGTCCTTCTCCACTTATTTCCAGATTATACAGTCTGCATAGGGTCCTGAACTAAGGGTTACACTACTGGATTTGTGTTTTCATCATCATTACACTATGAGCAATACCTGTTCTGACTTTAGTTCTCATGGCAAAACCCCTAGTTGTCTTCAGTAACTAAATTCCAACAGGGTTTCCCATGTGAGACCCAAAGGCTGGTTGAAAGAGGATTTTCTTGGGTACTGGACATCATTCAGGTTGCTGAAACTAAGGCATTTCACTAAGAAATGTGTTTTCCTTACAGCACGAACAGTGTATTGGTAATCAAACACAAGAACCATTTATTTTGTTTGAACTAAGGAGCTCAGAAACTTGGCATATGCCTTCACACATTTTAATACTTGAACTAAGTAAAAATTGTTAACACTTTAACAGCTAAGTTGAAAAACACGACTGAAATTGTAGGTAAAAAGATTAGTTTAAAATAAGTACAAAACTACTGCAAGTTTCTAATAGAAGTGGCCACAATATACGATACTTCCTTATTAAGTGAATGTACTTGAGATAGCAGAACAATGACACCTCACTTAACAAATGACAATCACCTGTTATCCAGATGATTGGAGATTGGCTGTCTGTCGAAGATGTTGCCCGGAAGTAACATACTGATTCACCAATCAGCACACTGGTGCAAAGAAAAAACAGGCTCTGTAAGAGATAGACCATGACCTAGAAAGATTAGGGACACCACACCAGCCCAAAAACAATAACCTGTGGCCAATATCCATCTGCATAATAATTTTCAGGCTGCATTAGCTACCATTACAGGAAGAAACAAAACTCAACAGAATGGCTTTAGCTTGGCATTTGCACGAAAACGATCTGCATGTTTGGTGGCTGTTCAAATGTAAAAATTTCATAGCTGTACTAAATTAAAAATGAATGTTGAGTGTTTTTGCTTTGATTTTTTTTTATTTTGAATAAAATCAATATGTTTACTTTTTCTTTTGTTTGATATCAAGGTTATGTGTCTAAAATATTGAACTAAATCAATTTCAGCTGAATGTTCTGTATACTGTATGTTATGTATCAGAATATACAAAAATCAGAAAGAGTACAAAATAACATCACATTAATAAAAAATGAAATAATGAGATAAAACAAAGAAGCCTGGAACAGCAAAATGTTTATTTCGAAATATCTACTTGTCTATAGTTAGACCTTCCTGAAATATTAAATAAACCAAAACAAACATACAGCAAATCCTTTGGCTTACAGGTTGTATACATTGTATAGGACTACATGGGCAATTCCTACACTATTAGTTCAGTGTCTTGTAGACTAAAGGTTTCTGATGATTTTTCATAATTATCAATCAGGTTTAGAAACTTATCAAATCAACAGTAGAGGTACAGTAGATCATATAAAGCATCTCCTTAATCGTTAGTACAGACACTGAGGACATGCATTAATGACACATTCAGTGTCAGGTACTCAGATATGTACACAGTGAACAATACAGAAAATTAAAATGGTATGCAATTAAAATCTCAGATTTTTTTTTTCTCCAGTCTTTGCAGCGGGTTTCAAATTACATAAGCTTATAGGACTGAAAACTATGCTGCCTATGATTCACTAAAGACATTACTGCAATGACAAATAGTGAAAAATGTGTCTTCAGATCTTCATGCAGGAACTCTTAAAAGTTCCAGTCTTGTAAGGCATCTCAAGCCTTTAGACTGGAGTAGTAGGTAAGCCACACTAACAACATCCAAAGCTCTGGTTTCATAACCATCATTCAATTAAAAATAAATCTCTAAACAAATCCTGCTTGAATTCTTATTAAATATTGATTCTTGATGGTCCTTATAGTGCTGCTCCTTTCTTTCTCAAGAAATGGCTCTGTTCATGTTGGCTGTAAAGAGCTGTTAGGCGCTAATTAAAGCTTTACTTACACGTTCATGCAAATAAGAGAAATAAACAGAAGGTACAGCCCACATTTGCTGAAACATTGTATTTGACAGTCCAAATACCTAATTTACTGTAGGTGTTCTTATTAGGATGATAGAAACAGACATCTGTGGTCATATATAGATTTGCATTTACTAATCACATATGATTCAGAAATACCATACTTTAAGCAGTCAACTTCAGTACCCTACAGTTCTTAATAAATAATTAAAATGAAGAACTCCACTGGGTTCAATCAGAATTAGGCCAGTGCTCTCTCCTGTACCCTTTGAAAGCCAACAAAAAAGAAAAAGTTTTTCCTTCGCAGGAAAAACAAATCCTTACCTGTAAAAAAGAAAATCTACACAGAGAAACTAAATATTTCAGGATCAGAGCCTGTTGGTTTAAATAATATAAAAGTCAAAGAAAATAAATGCTGTAAGGCTTTTGTTGAAAAAAATACTTAACAGTTTATGTTCTTTCTAAAAGCAATACAATGATAACTGTCTAGGAATTACATTTTTTGTTCTATTTTTTAAACAAAGAGCTATTTCATTTAATGCCAGTGGATATACACGGGATTATAATGCTGCATTGTAATTTATGACATCTATAGAGTGCTCAGCCTTCTGCAGTCGTTGATAGCACAGTGAGTCTGACAAAAGCACAAAGCATACATATAGCTTCTTTTTTTTACCTGCTTCTGATGATTCATATTCTCTATTAAAAACTAAACAATGAAAAAGAAGCTGAGCAATAAGGCAGGAAAGTGTTTGTTAAATTTTCCTTGAGGAAAGGGCAATGCATATGAAGCAATGACAAACTTTTAAATGTAGTTTGTGTCATTTTTCACTTGTTACGTACAGTATAGCTGCATGGAAGCTTTTTTTGCCAATGCATTTCTGACTGCTCATTTTATGCAGGACATATACTGTGCCGTGTTTTTAATTCTTTAAAAACTACCATGTGCAGAAAGTGAGTATAAAATCAACAATAAACTAAAATAAATAAAGGTCCATTGGAAATGTGAAGCAAATAATCTTCAAGGCATCATAGTTAAACACCAAAAAGAAATAACCTCTTCTTACAGTAGGTCAGGGCATGACAATAGTAAATTCAGTCAACTAGGCTAGTACCACTCTTCTGCTAGCCACAAGAGCAACACAAAAAAATAAAAAACCCTTTAATAGTCAGTGTGGTGAAAAAGAAAGTACACCGCTTAAGATTGTTTTGGTTTTGTGTTCACCTGATACCACCTAATTCTACATACCACCTAATCAAGACGATAGAGCTACAGTAAGTGTGCACTTTCATGTTTACACAAAGATATTGAATGCTGCCTTTTTTCAATCAACAATGACAAAGTAGAATTTTGGAATGTTTTGTCAAATTAGATTAGTTTTATCTACTAGGAGAACCAGGTGAAGGTCAAATATGTAGAAACAGGTTAAACCATAAAATCTAACTTTTGTCTCACACTGTAGCAGTGAAACGAGGGGAAAAAATCATAAAATTAGGTTGTAACAGTACATTTTGAATGTGCTCAATTTAATTACTGTATCTTTAATATCTATAGAAAATCGACAGGTAGATTTTTAAATCTAGCTTTTACACATCATAATCAGTTTTTCGGATTAATGGGTAGTGCATACATAGATCTGTGTGTTGGAGGAGGAGGAATCCATCAGAGGTACCTTAACATTTGCTTTTCTGTGAATATATTACACTACAAGCTTTTAAATTATAAATTACAAATGCGCTATACGCTAGATGCACAAAACATATTCAAATAGCTCTTAACACATTATATACAGTATTTATTCTTTTCCAGACATCCTTCCTTATGATCAACCAGTAATGATTTCACTCTTTTAAAAAGGATCACGTTGTACTCTTTTTGGAGAGTTAGACTCGCACCAGTTTTTTTTCTTACCCTCAGAGTCTCAGGTGATCTCCCACTGCCTGCTTTACGCAATGAAACTACTACCAATCCGGAAGCCATGTCCATCCCTGTGGAAAAAGAATCAATTGCTTCTTCTTCACAAACAAAAACAGAACAAAACCCAAAGGCGTCCTGAGGAAGAGAACTTTCTATATCGCCGCACGCCCCTGGAACAGTCTCAGCAATAAGAGATTGCACAGAGCCCTCTGCCACTTGCAAGCAAATTACATTCTAGCAGAGGTATGTCCAAGGGGACTACTAAAGAAGAAGAAACTGAGGTGATGCCTGGCATAATCCCATCAATCTCAGCATCCAAAAATTGAAAGAAAACATTTCTTTTTGCATTCTCCGTAGGACAGAATAAAAGGCAAAACCATCCCGCTAGCTGCTCACAACATGATTGCTTCTCTATACAATATTGTGTAAGACAATTATCTTCGCAGAAGCGCATATGACATGGTCTGAAACCAAATGAACTCCCCCCTCCCCAGCCACCTCCTGCCCAGGCAACAACCTCCACCACAAACACACACTACTGACACCACTCTCTCCCCTCCGTAAGGAGAGAAGCATGTTTCTATCGATAAACAAGCAAACCAAGGTTTACACACATCATGCTCTTCATTTTGTTTCTCTCTTACTATTTAATAAAAAAGGAAATGGGGGATAAAATACATTTGTTTCTTTTTTTTTATTTAATTTCATGCAGGGAGCATCATTACTTACTTGGCTAAGATATCATCTCAAATCCAAAATGATTTCAATTACACAGCAGAGTAATCACTGTTCAGCATCTGTAAGGGTCTGATAAGCGGAGCTACATTACAGGAGTCCCTCTGCAGCCTGTACCATGTCAGGAAAGCAACAGGGGGGAGACAGAGGGAGATAGTCGTGGGGGGGGTATCGGTGGGGGGCACTGCAGAACACTGGAATGCCGTTGTTTGGTATGACTTTTACTGGTACATTGTAAAACACAAAGATGACTAGATACAGTATAATACTGCATTAAGCCAGTCATTACAGGCAAATCTAGCACACAAGCCTGAAACAGAGGTTGTAAGAGCAACACACACACACAATAAATGTAATGTACTGCCCCCTTTTTTTCAGTTGAACTGCATCCCTGGAGGAAAATGACAGAAAGGGGAACATGGCAAGCCACCAGGAAGACGCCACTTCATCAGAAAAAGTAAGACACCTTCAAGGACAAGCACCATCAAGAGCCGTCTGTGAAAATTCCAAGGAGGAGGACTGATCAAAGCCACATTGCCCCCCCAATCAAATACAAATATTGTAGAACGAGGATGATCTTCTGAAAAAATCTCCACTTGATCAAATAAAATTATAAGAAATCTGCTTTTTAATTATATTGATATTGAGGATACACAAGTAAAATGCAGGTGGACTACAGTCCTGTAATAGACAGTACTGTGTGTTTTTTGTTACTCTGAAAAATTTGCTTTACATTAACATTAATATTGCTTTGTTGAATCTGTTATTGGTGCATTGCTATTTCTTACATTTATTTTATTTTACTGTAATCTTTCAGTAGTATTACTGGAATATAAGGAATACAAACTCCATAATTCACAGGACCCTGGGACAGGAATGCACTACTGGAGGATCAGTTAAAATTGTCCTACAGAGGCTCCATGACTCAAAACTGTGTGTCATGGGTTTGAGTGGCTGCTGTAGGCCCTGCTGTTGCACACCTGAGCAAGATACTTCACCTCAATTGCTGCAATACAAACAACTGTAAAAAGGGATTCCAGCATTACTGCGAGTATCTGGGAGATGAACAAAGATCCTTCAATCCTGTTAATTGTTCAGAAACCACAATAATCTCCAACCCAATGAGCGATCTGGCTCAAATATAGACTTTACTCATATCAATAAACTGTACAGAAATACAACCTAAAAGCAGTTGGTTTTCAAGTAAACATAATTTACAAATAATGTTAGTTTTATTTTTATGTACAGAAAAGCTTTCACATCAAAAACTTAAAAATATACTAAAGAAACTCCAAACACCATGAAAGACTGTTCCAATCTATTTATTGTAAAATCCCTAGTATTTCTATGCAGGGAACTACTTTTAGGATTGGTAGTCAAATACTAATTTGGTTGCTGAAGGTCAATGGTTCTGCACCAGATTCAAAGGATGCAATGCACCAAATACTCGTGCAGATCATGAAAAAATCTGTAGAGTTTCAATACGTATAAACTTTCCTCTGACACATTAATAAGAATAGAATTCAATATGACACTAATTGCAGATGCTTATTACTTTGTCATTTGATTCAAAACTTTACAAAGATGTAAGGCTCTTTTTAATACACCCCATATCTATCTGCATTCTGGCACAGTTTTCCACTTTGTAAAACCCAAGGTGAAAAGTCTTTCAACTGTAGTATGATTTTTTTCTGACATAACAGCCTAACAGTTTCATAACATAGTCTACCCACCGTCTCATTTAACATACTGACAATATACAAATTTTACCATTAGAAATCTTAGATAAGAGCAGTTTTCAATCGATCCAGAGCTACCTTCCAAGTGTAATGCAATTTTTACATCCTAGTAGAATAGGACAGCAGAATTTCAGCTTCATAGACCTGCAATATTAATACATTGGTATTCCTTGCATACTATCTTTGTAAGCACTTAAAGAGCATTGCAGAATATTGCAGGATGCTATCTAGCTATTAACCCCTGAGTCAGACCTATCAGCCCAGAAGTCCATCTTCCCTTGCCTTTGTGCTTGTTATCTGCAGTGCTGCTTTTACCTCATCCTAATGCTGTGAGTCATCCTATTGTCACCTGGGCGACAGAGGCCAGCTGTCGAGCAATGCTTTATAGAATAACAATTAAGAAGCCATAATGGAAACAAAACAAGAACAAAAACAGTGGAGGTTCCAAAAGTGGACAGTAACATAAGGATACATTAGTAGGAAAAAAAACAACTACCTGTACATCCAATATGACAGGGTGAAAAAGATTACTTTATATTTCAATTGTGGAGTTCAGAAGCCTTGCAGTGGAATACAAAATAAAAGGTGCCAAGGAATTGCTTTTCACATTGTCACAGTTTATTACTTTTTTTTTGAGTGTGGGTATGTCTTTAGATCAAAATGAATGAAAACATAGTCAGTGTTGTTAGCTTTACTCAAGAAAGACGCTGTCGAACTAACGCAAGATTTGTAATGTCCAATTAACGGAAAAAAATCATACTCCAAAACAGGACAGATGCTTAATCAGCCCAGTAATTTTCGTTTCAAAAAAGGATTAGCTGTGCAGCAGAAAAAAGAGACTCTGCAGACAGAGAGCCTCCGCGTGATGCTCCTGTGGCTCCTGATTTCTTTTCCATGATTACTTTATTTTCAATCATTCTGTTAGACAGTTAGTATCTGCATACACGTGTTTTGGAAATGTACATTAAATGGTTTCGGAAATTTGCGGTGAGTGTTCTGCTAATAAACCTGGCAGTCGTGCTTTTTTCTAGATTGATCATCATCAATGATGATTCTCAAATTGTCCTTAACTTAATCAGTTCAGACTGGCGTGCTGAAGCAGCTAAAAGAACACATTGTACCCTATATATGCCCATTACACCCATTATACCCTACCTAGACTCCTAAACTCTCCACCTTAATTCAATAGAAGGAATTTCTCACTCCTCCACCTGATCTCCTGTGCAGTGGGACTGCTGATGCATAATGACTCCCATGTGACATTCAGGTGAGTGCTACTCTTCACTGATGAATGGAATGGGTCCCCTCCTCTATGTAAAAGTGCTTTACAAATACGAGTAGATTTTTATTGTTAATATTATTGTTATCATTAATAGTTATTTTTATTATTAAGTCACTTATCATTTTGAAAGCCAGAAGGAGGGTTACTTGCTGTCCTATTCTAAAGGACAAACAAGAGTGGACAAAATCGAACATTATCACCATCAACATTTTTATAGTCCTATTTCCTTAGCTGTGTATAGAAATCCTTGATTTACAGTTTCGAAATGTAATTAGAGGAAATCCATCCCATGATCCATTAGGCATTGCTATAGTATTCAAAGTGAAAAAGTAATTACTCTGGTAGTATTTAAATATTTACATAACTTAAAATAATATATGTGTGCATTTGGGTTAACGTGAGAGATTAACGTGAGAGATGTTATTAGTTAATAAAAACTTGCAATCAAATAATAAATGGATGAAATCCATTGGAAAATGCAGGAAAATGTTGCCCTGACTTAATCTAAACTCACTGTCAGTCTCATTCTCAGTTCTTACCCTGTAAGCGGATAAAACCTTATTTTAACATAGTAACCTTTTAAAAAATATTTTAAACTGCGCAACTTTTTTTCGACAGCTTTACACTGAAGCTGAAGTTTTTCTAAGACGTTTCAAAGAAAACTGACAGCATGAAAAATAGAGACTGATAAACGAACTATGGTACTCAACTGGAATACCAGTATTCACAGACAAAAAGTGTGAACTTCATTAGTGTATTACTAACACACTAGTATTAGATATTATATTTATTATATAAGTAAAATACATGCATAAACATTCATATGTAGTACAAGGGCAGTGCAGTGGTTAGAATACAGTAGCTGCATTGCAGCACTGGGACTCTGTGTTCAATTCCTGGTGTGCAATATGCATGCAGTTTTTATGTTCTCATTACAGTATATTTGCATGGAGTCCTCTGGGTGCACCAGTTTCCTTTCACAGGCATACAGGTAGTTTAATTGGCTTCTGGAAAAATTGGCTCTGGAGTGTGTGCATGTGTGAGCTTTGCAATGGACTGACATCCCATCCCGGGTATACCCTGCCTTGCACCTGTTGCTTGCTGGGAAAGACTTTAGCTCCACCTTGACGTTGGAAACAAATGATTCGAAAATGGATGGACGAATTGATTGACATACAATTAACCATATCCACCGAATAATATTTCTTCATAGTAGTTTCATCACAGCTCTGTAAACAAACCATAACAACATGTTTCTGACAGAAAGTTCTTGACTGAATTTAAAATATTGTACATCATGGCTGGATAAGCATGGGCCAACCATAGTATCCTCATCTACATTCACAACAGCATTCTCATTGACTGATCGGGAACCTGAGAGATTTCAGCATTATCAGTGAGAGCTGTGTCACAGCTCCATAAACACCAAGCCTGCTGGGGAAACTACAAAACTGTTTGTGTGAAGAAGTATATACTGTAGCTATAACAGAGTCTACAGTAGATAGGAGGTATGGTAAGTGTGCATGGTCCTTTACCATCATGTACAATTACATCACATAGCTTTAAATAGCAGGAAGGCCATCTACCCATCTATTATAAGAAAGCTGCTTGTCCTGGTGAGGATCACAGGAAGTCACTTCAAAAGCATACTGTAGGTTGCAAGGTACAGTAGGACTTAGAGCACGCAGCA